GTGTGTCTTTACACCTTCTTTGTAGATGCAGAAAATAGATGCAAATTGAAATAAAATTATGCCAATTTTTCCTCAAATAATTAGTAGTCCTCAAAGGTTTTACTTTGCAGTATAAAACATTGAGGGGATAAATATTTCTGTTTTACCTTGTTTCATTTTTACAGTGAAATGATTTTAGTTCTGAGAACCAGGAAGTACTTCTATTTCCTGTAGAGGAATTTGAAGAGATCAGGATCTATTTTATGTGTACATACACACATAACTCTGACTTCTAAGTAAATACTGCCACTTCCGCACCTTCCTGCTACTGACTTTGAAAGAGCAGTTCTGCTTCAGTCTGTTCCCACAGTCCTACAGGACTTATACAGACTCTACTGTGGGATGTCTTTAGTCCCTTACTACAAGGGGAAGAAAACGGAGGGGGTGGTGGCCGCCCCAGTGTCTCTTGAGGTTCTCTGTGACTAACGCACTTCCAGTTAAATTCCCTGAAATCATGCCATTGCCTTTCACCCTCCAGTAGTCTGCTGTCAAAGGTATTACAGCTGCAATAGCAGGCAAAGTTACAAGTATCTTAAAATTGTAATTCACAGTACACTGTAATAGCCTCTTCTTGCCCTGAGCCTAGTCCACTTTTTTATCCTTATCATCAGTTACTTTCCTGTGTGAACTCTGCACTCCAGTTGACTGCATCAATATTGCTAATTCCCAGGGTCATACCTGCCTGAGTGCCTCAGCTTTTATTTAGTTTCTCTTCTGCTTAAATTAAATTTTCTCTTCCTTGTCTCCCTTCCCAGAACTCTGCTTATCGAACTCCTATTTCTTCAAAAGTCATCTCAATGCCTCATCTCAACAACCTTAGTCATTTTTAGTATCCCCCAAACTAGTGTAATTTTAAACTTTTGAATCCCAATTATACTAAATACCTCTTTTAACGTAATTGTCATATTCTTTTTTTTATCATTATATTATTGCATTCACCTAGAATTGCACTCAATTCTTTGCTTATATTATCACCCCTATACTTCTCTCGACTGCATTGTAAGATCCTTGACAGTAGCAAGAATTATGTCTATTTCTAACCCCTCTAGATTTTCCCTTGAAGCATAGGTAACCATTGCATATTGCAGTCAGTACGTAGGTATTCAATTAATGTTTTGAAAAGGTTCTATTTTAAAAAAACCACTTGTTTATTTTATTTATTTCATTGGCTGTGCCAGGGTCTTAGTTGTGGTATGCAGGATCTTTAGTTGCAGCATGTGGGACTAGTTCCCTGACCAGGGATCAAACATGAGCCTCCTGCATTGGAAGCTCAGAGTTTTAGCCACTGGACCACAAGGGAAGTCCCTGAAAAGATTCTTTTTTTTTTTCCTCTCCAATCTGTCATCTAAATTGTAAGGACTTCATTGCCACACTCAAAACAACATAGCTCTGTTAAATGTCTCTTAACCAAGGTCTTTTGGGCTTGATGGTAGGGAGGAAAAGTCATTTGTAGTTTCTGAGAGAAGTTTTGCATATTATAATTGGCATTTTTGTATGAACATGAAAGTTTACTTATATAACAGAATTTCATCATCAGAGTATTATAAAGTCTTTCCTTTTGGTGAAATGATAGAAAGCCTAAATAGTCACATTAATGTGAAGCGTATATTTTTATGTATAAGAGGGTTTTTTTTAAAAAAATACACTTATCACTAATTTTGTCACAGGTGACATTTTATAATCTCGTACTACAGGAATGGGAATGTTCCCAGATGTCTGGAATTAAATCTTCCCATAAATAATAAATAAATTCAGTATCATATCTATCAATTTTTCAACCATAAAAGTATTCCCCGAACAACATGACAATGCTGCAGTGACTGATTATCCAAGCCATACTTTCCAAATTGCCACATCGTTGTTATAATTAAGACCACACTGGGACTTATCTGTGCAAATATCTTGACATACACCGAAAATGCTGATGTGGCTTTAATGTGGATTGGGGCAAGAAAATAAATAGTCTTTATGTTTGTAAACTTAACAGTTATCTTGCAGTTCCTGGACACGTTATGCTGATGTTGTAGAAGCTCTTTTCTTATTATTTTTTTTAGAACCAACCAGCCAATTCCAATGTCAAAAACAATTCAGAGTTTTAAAATCATAACTTACATAGCATACATATATTCAAAGTAAAAATGGGGTAAGTAAAAACACATTATTCAATTGAGGAGGGGTAATTTCACTATTAAGTAAGAAGATATAGTTTTAAATGGTTATGTAAAATGAACACATTTTTCTACAGTTAGCATGTGTTTTCCTGAGAAATACCATTGGATAAATCTAGAGCCTCAGGGAAGTGGGTAATAAGAGTGCCCCAGTCCAATTAGCAGGTTTAGGAGTTGTCCCTATTCAAATACTAAACTTCTTGCTCCCAGGACTGCTGAGCTGTGTGATGGAAGATAGGATATGAGCTGTGACAGATGTTTTCACCTTCATGAAGCAGGGGACAGTATGGAAATGTTGTTTAATACAGGTTATTCTGATGTTGAGCCCATGTTCAACACTGCATAAGTGACTGTAAATTGCAGTTAAATTATCACATAAATTGCCTACTGATTTATATGCTGAATAGAGGGATGTCCTTAGTCACAAATGAAATGATACCTGAAGATCAGCTCAGGGTGTGATTTTGCTTATTAGTTTTATCCAGATCTCAAACTTTAGGAGCCATCCTCCTTGTTAGTGTTAGTTGCTCAGTTGTGTCTGACTCTGCGACCCCGTGGACTGTAGCCCGCCAGGTTTCTCTGTCCATGGGATTCTCCAGGCAAGAATAGTGGAGTGGGTTGCCATTCCCTTTTCCAGGAGATCTTTCCAACCCAGGGATTGAACCCAGGTCTCCTGCTATATTAGGGTCACTAGCTATTGAATCACTTTTCTTAACGTTTTTAAACTTTTAAAAAATTTGCTTTCCTGATATCTAAAACCCACCTCATTATTTTCAGGTTTCCTCCATTTACTGTCACAAATATGTGTGATGAACACCCAGGGATCCACCATTCCATGTGAACAACCAGTTATTTTCTATTCTTAAAATGAAATCCAGAGACTACATAAGTGTGACTAGATCAAATTGTCAACAATGTAAACAATAAGTTCCTCCCAATACTCTGTTTTTAACAGGATAAAGCTTTTTATTTTCAGCGCTGGCATTACAAATAGCATTTAGGTAAAAACAAAAAAACACCAGACTCCGTAAATTCCTAACTGCTTCTGTGACTGCATCATTTAAGCTGTCTGGACTCATCCCCTTCATAATTTTTAACTTGTTCAGCAGCTGTGGATATAAAATGAGATCCCACCTATAAAGTACTTATAATGGGACCAGCATGTTAAAAAAGAGTTCCATATAGACAACTCCACTACCGCATTCTATTGATTAAAAGGACACATGTGTTTTACTCTTTATCCTCTCTGTAATTATTACATGTTATATTAGGTTCATTTTAAAATCATGGTGGCCAAACAGCAGTTATAATATAGTTGTCATTGCTAGTACTTGGGAATTTCATTGTTATTCCTGAGAGCAATAGCAACCCCATACTATTTCTACGAGAAACAAAGAAATAAAAACAGCTAAGGGCCATTTGAGGAAGGAAAATAAACCTTCCCTTGGTTGCTCGCTTAAACTTTTCATTGGCAAACATCTTCTGGTATAATTAAAATAGAGCCACATTAGAACTTAGAAAGATGGTAACGATAACCCTATATGCAAAACAGAAAAAGAGACTCCGATGTATAGAACAGACTTGTGGACTCTGGGAGAAGGCGAGGGTGGGATGTTTCAAAAGAACAGCATCGAAACACGTATATTATCTAGGGTGAAACAGATCACTAGCCCAGGTTGGGTGCATGAGACAAGTGCTCGGGCCTGGTGCACTGGGAAGACCCAGAGGGATCGGGTGGAGAGGGAGGTGGGAGGGGGGACCGGGATGGGGAATACATGTAAATCCATGGCTAATTCATTTCAATGTATGACAAAAACCACTGCAATGATGTAAAGTAATTAGCCTCCAACTAATAAAAATAAATGAAAAAAAAAAAAAGAAACAAAAAAAAAAAGAAATGGGTACCAGTATCCTGGAAAAAAACCCTGGAGACAACAGGGAACACTCTTTAAGAAGTCCTGGGTAACCAATGCATGTGATGCCACAGAGATGTTATATGTAGGAGAACACAAACTTTGATGACTGTCAACTAATAAGCTACTTGAAAGATTTGGATTCTGAATATAAAGAAGTTTTAGGAATACCTTCCCTTTTAATGGATGTAAAAGTGGTACATTTTTTAAAAAGTATTTAAATAAGTCATACAAATCTATTTGGGTGAGCATAGAGTAAAAATTAGAGTTGATAAAAAAGTATTGTAGTTTAATTTGCAGCCATTTTACTCTTTCTGGGACACATAAAATGATGGTCTATCTCACAGTCATTCACACATTTTAGCTTTGAAGAAATATGGTATATTATCATTAATACATGTATAATGTATTCTTCAGTGATGCCATCAGGGATCAGAAAGCATCTATTGATTTTGAATCACCCTAAATCCTAATTCACTGAAATAAGCAGCACTTTGAAACCTAGAATTAAGACTTTCAATTTGATGGATATCATTTGTGAACATCCGGGGTTTTCCCCATCTATAGATTCTCAATGTCCATGTTTCTTCTCGTTAGGAATACATAGGCTTCATTTGTTCCTCATTTTCATCTTCTCTAGAGAATAATGGCCTGTCTTTGAGGTCCTTCTGAGTCCCCCAAACCAAATATCAAGTATACCACAAAGTTTAAGTTTTAAGCCAGACAGTGCCATTCACGTGATTTGCCTTCCTAGCAGTGTGGTGGCCACGTGTGCTAGTAAGTGGCCGGTATCATTCTTATTGTTAATTCCAAGGAACAGAGAATGACAAGGTTTCTGTTGGCACCATATCTAACCTGCTCATACTGTCTGTTTCTGTAGGTGGAGTTCAGTGCCCAAATAGCAGTGCTTTGCAAGAGGTACGCAGCTGTAACGAGCATCCCTGTACTGTGTACCACTGGCAAACCGGTCCCTGGGGCCAGTGTATCGAGGACACTTCAGTTTCGTCCTTCAACACAACTGCAACTTGGAACGGGGAGGCCTCTTGCTCCGTTGGCATGCAGACAAGAAAAGTCATCTGTGTGCGGGTGAATGTTGGCCAAGTGGGACCCAAAAAGTAAGGACTTGAAAACGACAATAGTTAACTCCTGTGGCCAGCCATGTAGGGATGGGCCCAGGCTCCACTTGCTTCATGAAATGGAATGTTTGGTGCTTATCATACCTGATCTCAAGAGTAAGACTTCTGTGTTTTGATGGTAGCCACTGATAAAGTTATAACAGCTTGTACCTGGGATCCATAAATTCTGTAGAAATCTCTCCATGTGGTACCTACTTTCAGTGTTATAGTAGCACTTTCTGCTTTTATTGGGCTAGTGAGGCAGTGAAAGTAGTGCTCACCCTAGGGCTGGCTGATCAATAGTGACAGTATCCAAAGTCCTAGCAGTGGAGGTCATCCATGGCCTCCTGTGTACCCGTAGGCTGTGGAGGCTGCCCGTCTAGTTTAATTGGGCAATAGCCTTCTATGATCTGCCTTTCATTTTCCTTAGAAGGTACTGTATCAAAAATACTGAGGCCATACTTGCTACATCTTTTAATGGTTAAATGAATAAACCATTTACTGCCAAGAGAGAGCCTTAGGATAGGATGAGGGTTAGAATAAGCAGAAAAAGCACCAGTGTCTCACTGTAGTTAACAAGTAGTGTGATAACACGGCAAACAGTTTGCTAGAGAACCCGAGAGTTGACACATTGTATGTGCCTTGTGAGAAAGTAAAAAAAAGAAAAAAAATCAGCATAAACTGGGCTAATCATTTCTTGGAGAAAATTAATAAATCAGTTATAAAAATATACTTAACAAGGAAGAAAACTCTATCATTTGTGATTTAGATAGCATCTGTCTTTTAAAGCTCATATCACCTTAGCCATGTGAAACAAGTAAAGTAAAATCCATCAGTTTTGCACTGGTATAAAAATGGCCTCATAATTTCTGAAAACTTGGTCAAGTACTTAAGGTTTCTTGTGTGGTCTTAAACATACTACTTAACAGATTCTGGCTTCAATTTTCAAAAATATTTGCAGAAATTTAATGAAAACAAAAAGTAGTAATGTAAGCACTCAATAAATCTTAGAAATTATTTTCTCTTGGAAAATTCAAGATACTTCTTAGTGTTTCAGAGAAATGATAATAATGTAACTGATATATGACAAACTCCAGGGGATAAGTAAGAATCTCATGATGACTTGTTTTTTTCTAATGCCCAGGGTTCTGGACTTTAGTAATATTTTGCCTCATCATTTAGTTAGAAATTAAGAAACATGCAAAACTGATGGGTTTTACTTTTCATGTTCCACATGGCTAAGATGATATGAACTTTAAAAGATGGATGCTACCTAAATCATCAATGATAGAGTTTTCTTCCTCTTTGCATATACTTTTATAACTGATTTATTAGTTTTCTCCAACAAACGATTAGCCCAGTTATGCTGATATGTTTTTTGTTTGTTTCTCACAAGGCACATACAATATGTCAACTCTGGGTTCTCTAGCAAACAAGTATGTAGTTAGAAAATATATGCCAAAAGATTTGAATAAATTGAGAAACTATTCCATATGCTTCATAGGCAGCCCCAAACCAATATTTCAGTAAAAATGATGCTAAATTTGTCATGAATGTAACAAAGGATATTAATGTGCAGTATATTAAAAGTCAATAACAGTGACAGCAAAAGTGGAAGTCCCAAGTTTTGAGGATTGTGGGACTTGCAGGGACACGCAAAGGGGGCAGAAATATTTGCTGCAGGGGATTATCACCTGACCAACTTGTCATAGTTCAGATTGGAGGGGTATTGTTCTGAGCTTCTATGGGTAAGCTCACTCTGTTCCTCTTTTGCAGTTTCATTTACCTTTTAGATGTTACTGTTATATGTTCCTTCCTTATGCAAACTACAGAGTTTTTTCCTCAGCTGTGGATGTACATACACGCAAGCCTATGTGTGGTAAAGCCTGGTGGATTAATGTCATTAAATCATTCAATAGAAAGGATATCCTGAAGCCCCAATGTCAGAGCACCACAATAATCCATTAAAAATGCACTTTACCCTTGCCGCCTTTATTCAGTGACCTGGATACAAGTATAGATTTGTTAAATCAAATGAGTTTCCTTTGCCCTTAAAGTTCTAAAAAATAAAGTAAATGCTGTGAATGCAAAAGAAAATATTACTACCCTTATGCCTAAATATGCTAGGTTAAATTCAGTGACTGCTTTTCAGTACTAGGCATTCAAAACAAAAATGCAAATAGAAACCTTGTTTTAAACTCCTCTTAATAAAACAGATTACTGTGCAATGGTAAAATCAATGTAATTGATCTTATCTATCCTCCGAGTAACAAACTTCAACTCCTATCACATCTGTTTAATTTGACCTTGAATAAGATTTGGGGGAAAATCAATTCCTTGATTTAAACCACAAACACTAAATACAAACAGCACAAAGGAGAAAAGAAGCATATTGACTGAACCAATTGCCTCACCAAAGGAAGTCTGAATTCATTTCATTGGATGTGATCTAGGCTGTATAATTTATATTGGTCTGTTCATTTAACAGCTTTGTTGTTGGTAATTTTGTTCTCCACAGTTAACCGAATATCTTGCTGAGGAAATTTCTAAACTAAAATAGAATTTTTGAGGTTGTCAATGATAGCATTGTAAATTCCATTGATTTATTCAGAGTTAAAATTTGAAAAGCGTGTAATTGAGTAATGCTCTTCCATTGTTAAAGTTCTAAAATTGCCTCACTGAGAAGGAATACCTCCAATAATACTTACTAATCAATAATTCCATAGTTTCAACAAGAATTAACAGGATGATTATATGTGAGATTTTGCCATATAATGTTTCCTGGTTAAGAATGGAGGTTAACTTATAATTCTAGTGATTTATAATCTCAGTTGTAACAAAACATTAACTTCTAATGATTCTTATCTAAATTTCTTTTCTCTTCATAACTTTGAGTAGGCATAGCAATTAGGAAAATCCAAGCGTATATTCAACATAAACCAGAGAGAATATTTCATTTTCAAATGTTGAATCCAATGTATTTTTTAAAATCCACTTTCAGATAAAGCCTGGTGTTACTGAGCGAGCAAAAAAATATATATATCTGTATAGTTGAATAGAATATAATACTTATGGATGAGATAGGAGACATAAATAAAAACTTACAGATATATCAAACATGAAGTGTCAGCAAAGTGCTATATAGAAATTATAGGAAGGAGATTAATGATGTTGATTTATTCACTCATAGTTCAGTTCTGAAAACCTGATTAACTTACTTGTTGGAAGACAATTTATCTTGACCTACAAGAAATTTGACTTCTCCTATGGGGAGTATTTTTAAATCCCATTTTTCACTAATTTGCCAAGTTGTTCCAGCAACAGTTATACTGGTTGATTCATTTCTTCACTGCCTCTTAATTTACTTGTCAGAGATGTATGATATCACCTCAAAGGAAAATTTCTTAGGAATCAGAACATTACTTTTAGTTACATGAATTATGTTATTATGTTTTGTTGTCCTTATATGCATCTTCTAGTATTAATAGCATTTGATTGCTAATGATAGTAGACTCAGATTGTGAAGATGCAGAAAAGAATTAGGAAATTTAAAAATCATGGAACAAGTACACAATAAACAAAAAACTATATTTAAAACTCATACATCACCTTCCTAAAATTCTTCTAGGAAGTGAAAACCTTATAAAGTATAAGGCATTTCAATGTTTTGTCATTATTTTTCTCTCATGTCCCTAATAATATATTTTATATTTTGGTGTTTTTGAAAAATTATAATTAACCTAATTTTGCTATAATTTATGTCAAGAACACAATGTTTTGTTTTTCTTTAAATTACTTATTGACTCTTTATTTATATCCATTCACTCTTTTTGTTCTAAAAATATTATAATTCATAAAAATACCTAAAATATTTAAAATCCAGTAGATTAAAACTTAGAAGAAAATGGAAGAAAAAATAAGAATACAGTGAATGAAACCAGGAACAGAACAAAAATTGTTTATCTTAATTAGCTGTATACTTTCTTATTTTATTACTTATTTTTATGACATTCATAGCTATAAATACAATATTGGTTTTTGAGCTTATTATTATATTATATATATAATATATATATATTATTATAGAATATGCTTATATAAAATAAGTTTATTTTTTGCTAAATATATTTTGTAAAAATAAAGTACAGAGTAGCCTGGAAAATTATGATTGACAGTAAGCCTATTTAGTTATACAAAGGTGTAGAATTGGTTCCTTAAATTGGTAATTTGAACTTTCATAAATTTCTTATAAGGCATGTTAGAAAGTGCAGATTTAGTAATAGACTGTTAAAAATGGATAAAGAATAATTATTATATTTTCTCCTACATAGCACAATTACTATTATTAAATTTTCACTTCCTGCCTGAGAAGCTTTATTGAGGTTCAGTTCAGAAGAATTATTTTAGTTGTATAGTTCTTGTCAAAAAGTAGAAAGAATCCTGGAGGTGGAATACTACAGATGGATGACTGTTTAGCAATTTCAGAGGTAAAAATTCTAAAGATATAAATTACCTGGTTCTGGGTTAGTACAGAGGTCTAGTAATTTCCCTTTGCTTTTCCTAGGTGTCCTGAAAGCCTTCGACCTGAAACAGTACGACCCTGTCTGCTTCCTTGTAGGAAGGACTGTATCGTGACACCATATAGTGACTGGACATCTTGCCCTTCCTCATGTAAAGAAGGTATGCCCTGAAGAGTTCTGTAGGCAGTTCACCCAGGAACCCTCTCTCTAGGCCTCTTAAGTTCCTCTGGCTGAGCGATGTTTTGATTCTTATATGGGGCTGGCTCTATGATCCTGGATTGGGACAAATGCCATGAAATTTGGATTTCCTTCTAGAAAATAATACAGGTTTTAGAGTATCAAGCAAATAAGTCAAATGACTTTTATGCCAAAACTGACTTTAAATAGCAGTGTGATATAGACCTAAGTGAAAATATTCTAGACTTTATTACATTCATAATGTTTCCTTTAGCATTGATTCTACAAGAATGTGTAGTGGCCTTGTGTATTTCAAAAGGAATACACAGTGATTTTCTGAGTACTCATGGTTTTCAACCTACTTAGGTGCAAGAAATAGCCATGGGACCAGATTCACTACAGATTCAATTATGTGACCCAAAGGATGGGAATAAAGGAAAGAGGGAAATGATCAAAGTGCACCTCTGCCAACACTTAACATGCCATGAGGCCTTTATAAGATGAGGATTTGTTCCCAGTTTGGTTTGGTTTTTTCCTTGGTATAATTGTTCTGCAGTGTGTGGGTCATCTGCGTGGCAGCCCTATAGTGGGGCTAATGGCGACCTCCTCCGAGAGGGCTTATGCCACACGCATAATGTCCTTTCTCATTGCCGCTAAGAAAGATGTCCTCATCCTCTAGGTGACTTGTACAGAAAGTCAACACCTTTTCTCTCAGTGTCACAAATGACGTTGTCTCCTATTTTTTATTTTACTCTCCTGACAAATAGAGATAGTTTAAGTTTCTCTTATGCTGTTACTTATGTTTCTTGACTCTTAGTGTAAGATTAATGTGAGAATCAACTTCTGGTTTAACAACCGCTTTAAATTACTGGAAAATTTTTTTTAATCCTGAAGATATTACATAAGATTATAAACTTCATAATTGATTGTTTATGCTCTGTGGTTATTTTATACAGTTCAAATATGGGTTCCTTTTTATGCTTTTTCTATTTTAAATACCACTGACATATAAAATAAATCACAAAGTGAGCAAGAATAGAAATATTTTCCTCTGTTATTTCATTCTTTACCGTCTTATTTATTCATCTATTTATCTCTTTTTGGCTGTGCTGAGTCTTCATTGCTGCACATGGGCTTTCTGTAGTTGCTGCAAACAAGGGCTCCTTTTCTTTCCATGTTGGGACTTACTGAGATGTCTTCTCTTCTTGTGGAGCACAGGTTTCAATAGTTGTGACATTCAGGCTCAGTTGCTCTATGGCATGTGGGATCTTCCTGAACCAGGGATCAAACCCATGTCCAATGCTTTGGCAAGCAGATTCATTTTTTTAAATTTATTTATTTTTTAATTGGAGGCTAATCACTTTACAATATTGTCTTGATTTCTGCCATACATCAACATGTATCGACTATCAGTATACATATGTCCCCTCCCTCCCACCTCCCACCCCATTCCACCCCCTTAGGTAGCCATGGAGCACCAGTTCGAGCTCCCCGTGTCATATAGCAAATTCCCACTGGCTATCTGTTTTACATACAGTAATGTACATGTTTCCCTGCAACTCTCTCAGTTCCTCTGGATTCTTAACCACTGGATCAAAAGTCTTTTGAGGCATTTTAAAAGCTTTGGGACAAAAAGAGTTAGCATTAACTCTTCAAAAATGTTAATGACTTTAATCTTATTGATATAGTAGTGTTTTTGTCTATCATTTTTATCCAGATTTTCTTCTTTTATCTTCCCTTACTTTCTTTTTTTTTGATTTATTTATTTTTGATTGAAGGATAATTGCTTACATTATGGCATTGGTTTCTACCAAACATTAACATGAACCAGCCATAGATTTACCCATGTCCCCTCCCACTTACACATCCCTCCCACCTCCCTCCCCATAGGGTGTTTTCCCCTGAGTCAAACAGCAAATTCCCATCTGCTATCTATTTTACACATGGTAATGTACGTTTCCATGTTACTTTCTCCATGCCTCTCACCCTCTTCTCCCTGCCCAACCTTGTCCATAAGTCCATTCTCGGTGTCTGGGTCTCCACTGCTGCTTTTGAAACATGTTCATCAGTACCAGCTTTCTAGAATCCATATATATGCATTAGTATATGATAATTGTTTTTCTGACGTACTTCACTCTGTGTAATAGGCTCTGCATTCATCCACCCCATTAGAACTGACTCTGCCTCCTTACTTTCTTAAAAACTAAATAGCCTATGATATCCTTTAGTTTGGTTACAATCAGCAGTAGAGTTGTAGTTTCTCATAGATTGGTATTTCTGTGATAATTGTTGGTTATTCATCACTACCATGGAAAAGGTTATTTATTACATGAAATTTATGTGCTTGAAAATTTTATTCTGCATATTCTTATACTTAATGTTTTATATTGATGTAAGCCATTTACTAATAATTCCAAAACATGCAGTTACATTTGTAGTACCATGATTAATAACCTCACAGAACTTTAACATTTGTAAGTAAAATTTTTGAAAGTAGAAAAAAAAGTTTGTCTCTTCTTTGATATTGGACATTTTTTCACTTTGAGTAAAATATTTTGAAATAACAGTTCTCTTAGTCTTAAGTATTTTAAGGAAATAAAGTAGGGACTTCCCTAATGGTCAAGTGGTTAAGACTGTGTTTCCACTGCAGAGGGCACATATTCAATCACTGGTCAGGAAACTAAGATCTTACATGCTGCATGGTGTGGCTAAAAAAAAAAAAGCCTGGTGTGATTATATTTTTAAAAATTTTAAGAAATTAGCCATAAATATTCCATTAAACTGATTCTAGAATAGCCCTCCTAAAAATAAGGAATCAGGTAAATATCTCTCATTTCATTATACCTTCATTTGAAACTAATTTGGGATATTGAAATGTGTCCAAGAATTATGTAATAGTTTAGTAGCCTATGAATTTGTTATCTTATTATGCATTATCTGTGTCTGGAAAAGGAAGAAAGTAGATATAACTTATTAAAAACCTATAATTGGAAATTAAATAACATGATTTTTAATTTGATCTTTGCTGATGCTTCTTATAGCACTAAAGCTGTTTTACTCTTTTCTGACCATTTATAAAATACAAAAAATTTTATATGACAAACTGTAATAACTTATATAAGGCACTTAAAAAAATTTTTACAGATGAGGGAACAAATAAATTGTAAATGCTCTGCGTGTGTTAATTAAATTAATACTCATCTGTAATATATGTATAAATACATATTGCATTTCTAAATTATTGATTACTGTATTTAACTAACACTTTGATGGCCCTACAGAGAAGAGCATCAAAGAAGCTTTTGATCTCATTTAAAATATAGAACTATTCTACATAGATCAGATAATGTAAGACTTGGATGACTCAGTAGCAAGATTTAGTGGTAAAGCAGAAAGAGCTCTAGGGAAGAAACAGGGAAAATCTGTTGTGGGAGCAAATATCAGGGGAAATCTTGCTGAAAAGAAGGGAGAAGAGACCTTTTTGAAAGAGAGAATGCATAAAAGAACCCCAGGTGATCAAAAGCATCAGGAAAAGTGTGTCAGTGACCATGAAAAAGATGGACTGTTCAAAAGAAAGTGGGATCCAACCCACTGGAACTTGGAATGTCTGGGGGAAAAGTCAGAATGTGAAGTTAGAAAATTGAGGCAGGTTGTAGAAGATTGAATTAGACTTAGGTGGTGCTAGTGGTAAAGAACCTTCCTGCCAAGGCAGGAGATGTAAGAGATGCCAGTTCCATCCTTGGGTCGGGAAGATCCCCTGAAGAAGGAAATCACAACCCACTCCAGTATGCTTGCCTGGGAAACCCCATGGAAAGAGAAGCCTGGTGGGCTACAGTCCATAGGGTTGCAAAGAGATAGACATGACTGAAGCGACTGAGACTGCATGCATAGCAGGATACAATTTCTAGTTTTTGATTGAACATAAAAATGAGTAGTGAGTTTCATGATGTGTGTGTATATGTGTGTGTGTTGTATGCATCAGTAAACAGGGAAACCAATTTTCCTGACATCAGGAAGCTTATTTTCTGGTAGTATGAGACAGAAAAGGCATTTAATGATTGTTTTAAGGTCTTGATGCTTTGAAGGATCAAGTGAAAGATGCAGGGTAGGTAAGATGTGAGGTTAGGTAAGATATGAGATCATTTTGGAGAATGGAAAAATGACCAAGTTAAGTAACATGTACTAGAACTTGTAATAGGCAACATGGAATAGCCATGTAGTCGTTCATTTTAAAAAGAGTTGCTCAACACAGTTGCCACTGTTTCTTCAGCCATGTTCAGCTGCCTGAATGAAGGAAAGGTGTAGGAAAATAATTAGCATTGATTAAGGTCAGGGCTCTTCTAGAAGAGCACAAGAAAGGGAGAGTGGAACAGAAAGTCAAGAGTGTTTTCAATGGAGTACTTTTAATAATAATGGAGTATGGAACTAAGGTGGGTTGAGATGGAAGTAAGGTCATGAAGAGGATGATATAGTGAAAAAAGTGATTGGGAGAGTAGATTGGCAACCTTTAGAAGTTTAAAGAATTTTACTAAAATTAACTTTAACCTTTAGTATAGTAGGTAAAGTGGAAGGTTAGGTGGAATGACCAGAACTTAAGGTGTTTAAAGATGAGAATGTAAAAATACTGATGAAGATATCATCAGGGAATGACAGAAGAGCTGGTAATTGATGTAAGATGCACAAAAAAAAGTCATTGGAGGTGAGGAGGTACAGAAATTCAGAACCTCCAGTGCCTTGAACAGAATAACTGTGTGGATGCCCAAACCAGCAGAGTAGTGGCAGGGGTAGGAAGAGAAAGGATTACAGTGAGGGATATTCTAAAACCATTAAGTAATGAAATGTTAGTTGATGACTGCTACAGAGTAGATAGATGATGGTAAAATTGATGACAGGAGCTTCAGAGGAGTTAGATATTATTGAATTAGTTAGTGAAGTGAAGTGAAGTCGCTCAGTCATGTCCGACTCTTTGCGACCCCATGGACT